AGTATAATAGAATCACTTGGAAAGGTTGTTCAAAGGATTAATTTCCTGATTCCATCTCAAAGTCAACTGAATCATAATTTTTGAGTATTTGATCTGGATATGTGTTTTCAAAATTCTCCAGATGTAGAGGTATTTAAGAACCATAGGATGGAGCATCCTCTCTACTGAGTGCCTTTTTGTTGCTGGGCATGCTGTAGGATGCTTCTCTTAGTGGATTCAATGTGAGTTCCTTTGATACTCATCTCAAGGAAAGATCAGATAAGACTAATGCGGCATCTCGGCACAAAAGCAAATACATGCTGGGTGTGATGGTGTATGCCTGTAATCCTAGCACTCTGGAAGGGTCAGGCAGAAGAGTTGCAAATGTGAACTCAGCCTAGGCAGTTTAGTGGGGTCCTGTGTTTAAAAAAGGGGGTGGAGTGGAGCTGGGGATATAACAGTGCAAAGGCCTAGGTTCAATCTCCAGTACAAAAAAGCTTGATTTTTTTTTTTTTTTTGAGAAGCTAAGGCTAAGGTTGGGGATATAGCTCAGTGGTGGAGAACTTAACCTAGCATGCACAAGTCTCTGAGTTCAATCCCCAGGACCACCAAAAGAAAGGAAGGAAGGGAGAGAGGGAGAGAAGGAGACAGAAGGAAGAAGGAGGAACAGAAGGAAGAAGCAAACTAAGGCTAACTGTAATGGAAGGAAGTAAAGCCAGGGATTTGTAAAGCAGCCTTTTGTCCCTAGTGGGAATGGGAGTGAGAGAGAGATCCATTCCGTACTGTGTGGACCGCTGAATTGTTTTGGTTAGTTTGGGCTCCTAGAATAGGTTGTTCTCTTGCAAACCTGGTTTTATGTAAATTTGGCCCCATATTTTTGCCAGATTCAAATCACAGGATGTAAAGTTCCTTAAATACTTTTATTTTCTGTCCTGTACAATCTAGGCATTGTGTCGGGCAGAGGATGAAGAAGATATTCGTGCAGCCACCCAGGCCAAGGCTGAACAAGTGGCTGAACTTGCAGAATTTAATGAGAATGATGGCTTTACTGTTGGTGAGGGAGAGGAGGCCAGTCGGGTTGGAGCTGATGATGAGGAGATGTCCCGGGCTGAGCAGGAAATTGCTGCCCTTGTGGAACAGGTCAGCGTTGGAACCACTGGCTTTTGCCTTCATCCTTTATAACATTTCCCCCTGGGCTTAAGACCCATTTGGGGTCCTGGACACCAGATCCTTAGTTCATAATCTCTGTGTCTGTCTGTAGCTGACCCCCATTGAGCGATACGCCATGAAATTCCTGGAAGCTTCTCTGGAAGAAGTGAGCCGAGAGGAGCTCAAACAAGCAGAAGTGAGTATTTCTGGGGTGTGCGGTTGGTAGTAGAATGCTGCTATTCGTTACTCACTCTGCTGTGCGCGCCCTCCTGCTGACCGCCCTTGGGGAATGTGTTGTTGGTAGGAACAAGTGGAAGCTGCCCGGAAAGACCTGGACCAAGCCAAGGAGGAGGTGTTCCGCCTACCCCAAGAAGAGGAAGAAGGGCCTGGGGCTGGGGATGAGATCTCTTGTGGGTCTAGTGGAGGCAGCCACCGGCGCAACAGGAAGGTCAAGGCCCCTGAGAGGCTGGGGACTCGTGTCAGTGAGCGTCTTCGTGGAGCCCGGGCCGAGACTCAAGGGACAAATCACACTCCTGTCACTTCCACCCATCATACCCGCAGCACTTCCACTCCCCCCCGCTGTAGTCCTGCCAAGGAACGGGTTCCCAGGCCAGCACCTAGGCCTCGGCCTGCTCAGGCTTCAGCTCCTGCTATAGTTCCTGCCCCAGTTCCTGCCCCAATCCCTGTTTCGATTCCCATTTCAGCCCCAAATCCAGTAACTGTTCTTCCTGTCCATATCTCACCATCTCCCCCGCCGCCCCCGCAGGTTCCTCTTTCATGTTCTTCTCCTGCCTGTACCCCTCCTGCTGCCTGTACCCCTCCACCACCACCTCATACCCCACCACCAGCCCAGACTTCTCTCTTAACTCCTCCTTCTCCTCTTCTGCTTGATTCACCTTCTGTGCCCATCTCTTCCCCAGTTACTAACCTCTCATTGGGCTTGGGGCCTGAAGCAGAACTTTGTGCACAAGCCTTGGCATCTACGGAGCCCCTGGAGATGGCTGGTATGACCAGTTCTGAGACTTCCCCGCTTACTCTTATACCCCCTAAGGATCTGTTGCCAGTTGCTGTTGAGATCCTGCCTGTGTCAGAGAAGAACCTTCCTCTCCTCCCTTCTGCACCTAGCCCAACCCCAGAGGCTGGCAGCATCCCCAATGGTCAGGAGCAAGAGCTAGGAGACCTTACTGAGGGGTCCATCACAGTGCTGGATCATGAGGAACTGTCCACAGGTTTGAGTGAGAGCAATGGGCTGGAGCTCCCACCTTCACTACCATCTGATGAGCCACTCCAGGAGGCTAATAGGAACTTGGAAGAGTTGGTAGAGGTTCAGACCCTAACCTCCAGCCCAGAGAAACCACAAGAACTTGCCACAGCTGAAATCACAGTTCCATCAACCTCATCTTCAGACACTTCCTCTCCTGAGGGTCCTTCCCCTGCCCGGCCCCCTCGGCGTCGCACCAGTGCTGATGTAGAAATTAGGGGTCAGGGGGCTGGTGGACCAGGGCAACCTCCAGGCCCCAAAGTGCTTCGAAAGCTGCCAGGACGGCTAGTAACTGTGGTGGAGGAAAAGGAACTTGTGAGGCGGCGGCGTCAACAGCGGGGAACTGTCAGCACCTTAGTGCCTGGGGTCTCTGAGGTCAGTGCCAGCCCAGGAAGCCCATCTACCCGCAGCATGTCCGGGCCAGAGTCCTCTCCTCCCAACAGTGGGCCCAGTGAAGCTGCTCCCTCGTCCTCACTGCCCATCCCAACTCAGCCCTTCGTAGCTCGGCGTCACATTGAGCTGGGGGTCGTTGGAAGGGGCAGCCCAGAGAACGGAGAAGGAGCACTGCTTGCTATCTCTCCACCTGCTGTGAAACGTCGGAGGGGGAGGCCCCCAAAGAAGAACAGGTCTCCAGCAGATGCTGGGCGAGGGCTGGATGAGGCACCTTCATCGACCTCTAAAGGAAAAACCAATGGGACTGAGCCAGTCCCTGGGGCTGAGACCCTAATTGTTGCAGAACCTATCCTGCAGCCTCAGCTTGTTCCTGAATCCCAGCCTCCTGGACCCCCACCAGTTCACAGACCAGAGCCCATCATCCTGTCACCTGTGGAGAAAAGAAGGCGTGGGCGGCCCCCCAAGGCACGAGATTTGCCCATCTCTGGGACCATTTCCTCTCCAGGGGATGGCAGTTTAGAGAGCCGGACACAGCAGCTCCCACAACCACCACTGCCACCACCCCTACCACTGCTACCCTGTCCTACTGCTCCTGTCGCCAACACTGTCACCACGGTCACCATTTCAATGTCCCCACCCAAGCGAAAGCGGGGCCGACCTCCCAAGAATCCACCATCTCCTCGGGCCAGCCAGCTCCCTGTATTGGACCGCGACAGCTCTTCTGTCCTTGAGAGCTGTGGATTGGGGAGGCGGCGGCAACCCCAGGGCCAAGGGGAAAGTGAGGGTAGCTCTTCTGATGAGGATGGAAGCCGCCCCCTCACCCGCCTGGCTCGCCTGCGACTTGAAGCAGAGGGAATGCGGGGACGAAAGAATGAAGGGTCCATGGTGGTGGCTGTAATTCAAGATGATCTGGATGTAGCAGATAGTGGGCCAGGCGGGTTAGAATTGACACCTCCTGTGGTCTCATTAGCCCCAAAACTGCGCTCAACCCGCCTACGCCCAGGGTCTTTAGTGCCCCCACTAGAGACTGAAAAGGTGCCTCGCAAACGGGCAGGGGCCCCAGTTGGAGGTTCTGGGTTGGCAAAACGGGGCCGAACACAACCCCCAAGTCCCCTAGGGCCTGAGGGTTCAGTAGAAGAGTCTGAGGCTGAAGCCTCAGGTGAGGAAGAGGAAGGTGACGGAACCCTACGCCGCCGGCCTGGCCCCCGCAGGCTCGTTGGGACCACCAACCAAGGGGACCAACGCATCCTGCGCAGCAGTGCCCCTCCCCACTTGTCTGGCCCTACCGTTAGTCACAGAGGCCGGAAGGCCAAGACGTGAGTGGGCTGCCCCTCCACCTAGGCTTTCCACCATGGCCACTCTCCCTCTATGACCAGGCCTGACTCTGTTAACCACTACTTGAAGTCTTGAGGGGGAAAGCCTCCAGGGAGACGTAAGGGCCTTCTCCCTTTCCACCAAAGTAGGGGATAGGCAACTGGTTGTAATGGAAATGGGGCTCATCACAATCCTCCTTCCCTTCCACCCACGTGGCTGGGCAGTGTTAAGGGTGGCAAGATAGTCTTTGTCCCACCCCCTTGTACTTGATTCCCCAGCTATCTTTCATAGCCCCATACCCTTAGGGGAAAGGGGAGGGGCTTCTCTACAATGAGTTTTTTTTCTTTTTTTTTTTTTTTTTTTTTAAGGAGAAAAAAATAATAAACTTAGTTTCTGTACAAGCATCCGAGTAAGGAAGCTTCTGATTTTCTGGTGTGGAGGGTTGGGTGGGAACTTGGGCATCGGTATTCTCCCCTTCCTCTTGCAAAGACCCTCGTACCTGATCTCTAATCCTGGATTGTATACCTTTGTGGCAGAAACCTCCACCCTCAAGAAGAGGGAAGACTGGCAAATCTGATCTGCTGGTAGGGTTCGTTTCTCTCAAATCTTAGTTGTAAGTCATTCAGATATGTTGTCCTCTCCCTGCGTGTGTTGCTTTGGTTCCTGATCTCCCTCAGAGCTTTCCAGTGCCTCAGCCTTTTTCCTTCTTTTAACCAACACTTGCTCAAGTGCTTCCTTTCCTTTGTCCAGAAGAAAGGCATCCTACCTACAACTAGCTTCATCCTGTGGCCCTCCCCTCTCCTCCATCTAGCCAAACTGGTTTGAGTCAGCCACACCCCCTTCCCAGCTCCTGGGGCTCTTCAGATGATGGCTGGCCGCTGGGCCCCACCTCTGGGCTTGGAGCCCTGAGTCAGCTCCATCTCCACCTGAGCCAAATCAAACCTGAGGCAGGAGCGGAAACTCAGTTCCTCAAGGCCTGTAGCCAGGTAAGAGCCCCTGTTCGTGTTTACATTTTTTTGTCCTTGACCCCTGGGCCCTGTCTTTGGGTTCTTGCCTTGCTGACTATGTCTGTTTTTCTCATCTGAGTTTTTTTCCTCATACTTAACTCCCTACAGCTTTGTGGCACACATCGTTCTTTGCACTCTGCTTGTTTTGCTTCTTGTACCCTTCCTGTCTCACTTGTTTTCAGGGAATGACAGGAGTTGATTTTATCTAGCTGTAGTGGAATGGTTGGATGTGAGGGTGGAAAGGTGGTTTGGTACCGAAGTTTAGAGGGCCTGAGAAATAGATGAGAAATGAGGGCGTCATGCGGGTTTCTGTGAGGGTCATGTGGTCATCTGGATTTTGAATGTTTTGTGTGGTCTGTAGAGAGTGGATGGCACGGAGTCAACATAGAAAAGGCCCCAGCTTGGAGAAGTAAGGTCTTCCTGATGTTTGATTTCGTCAGCTGTAAGAAAGGGTTTACATGTGCACTTTTCCCTTTTCTCTGTCACAACAACTGATGTTTTCATGTGATACGGTTGCTTATTGGAGTGGGTTGCAGGATGTAGGGTCCTACTCATTGATCCTTAATACTCAGCCTCTAGGGGAATTTCAGGGAACCTTATGACCCGTGTTTAAGATTTTCTCCTGCTTCTCAGTTGCACTTTTCAAAACTGTAATAGGTATACATTTGCTTGCCTATAGAATCAGAATTTAAGATGAAAGAAAAGGATTCTAGCCACGTATTTTCTTTCCTGTTCCGAATCACTGGAGGAATTTCCAAGTAAGGCAGCATTCCTGACAGTTGAGCGAGGCTATGACAATATCAGGCTCTGAGAGGGGTGGAGTCAGCAAGCCAGGTCAAGGGCTCATTTGTTGGGTTTACAAGTACCGTGACTGTATCGCCCACAGGTGATGGAGGACGAGGAGAAGGCAGTGGAGATTGTGTTGAGCAACATGGCAGCTGCTCATTCTCCATCCCCCATCCGCTGCTGCAGGCTCCGCCTCCGCTGCTTGGCAGCTACTAGCATTATCTGTGGCTGCTCTTGCCTGGGAGTCATGGCCCTTGTGTTTGCCATCAAGGTGAGGAATGCAGTTTCTATGGGAGTGGGGTTGGGTGTAAGGCAATGACCTTGAGTGTCTGACTTGGCTACACTGAGGGAACAGTTACTAAACACTATCAGTGCTTATCTCAGGGCCTACTGCAAGGAGTAAGGTAGGTTCCTCCTGTCAGAGGACTCAGTCTATGAAAGAGTTGGCAGTGAAAATAATTACTAGTAGGATACAGTTTATCAGTATCAGGATAGAGGAAGCATGGGGTACTCAGGAGAGTGGGAGAGATGTGTGCTCTGATAGTATAGGCAATTGATAACGGCGTCCTGGGTGAGATGACAGGAAAGTAATCTTAAAGGATTTGTGAATAAGGGTGAAAGGACATTAGAGGAAAAGGCCAGTGTGTACTAAGACCTGGACTATTCAGCATGACTGGTTTATTGAGATGAAGCCAGAAGGTCCAGATTGCAGAGGGCCTCTAATTCTATGCATAGCAATTTTGACTTTATCTTGAAAGCACTAGGGAATTAAAAGTTTTTGCAGGGTGTGTGTGTGTGTGATATGGTCGGATGTGTGTTTCCGAAAAATCTACTGTCAAGGCCTACGTGGAGGGTGAATCAGAAGGGGCAAGGCTGGAGGCGGCTGAGCAATGATAAGAGCATACTTTTAAGAGTCTGGAAGAGCAAGTTGTGATGGCACATGCCTGTAATCCCAGCTCCTGGGAGGCCAAGGCAGGAGGATCCCCAGTGAGTTTGAGGCCAGCCTGAGCTACATAGTGAGTTTAAGGCCAGCCTAAATTACACAGTGAGATCCTGTTTTAAAAAACAAAAAAGCCAGGGATATAGCTCAGTGGTGCAGTGCCTGTCTGGCAAGTGCAAGATCCTGAGTTTGATTCCTGGTATCCAAAAAACAAACAGAAAAACCCCACAGCCTGGAAGAAGCAGTGGGGTCTTCCAGAGGGCTTCTGTTGCACGTACATGCCTTTTTTTTTTTTGAGGTGCTAGGAATTGAACTGGGGTCTTACTAGGGAAGTGTGCTATGGCTAAGCGGCATACCCAGCACATATATGTACTTTTTGAAAGACTACTCAGGCTAATTTAGACATGCTGGAATTTTCTCACCCATAGATATATTTTTGTTTGTTTTGATACAGGGTCTCACTGTGTAGTTCAGGCTGGCCTTGAACTCTCATTTTGTAACAAAGATTGGCCTTGAACTCACAGTGATCCTCCTGCCCCAGCCTCGAAAGTGCTGGGCTTGCAGGTGTGTGCCAGCCACCTCAGCTGACCTGAGACATGTTTTTAACAAACTCTTTCAGGGCTAGGTGTAGTTCAGTGGCAAAATAAGCGTGCCATGGATTCCATCCCAGTCCAACCAAAAAGAAAAAAATAATTCATAAATATCTCTTCACTATATGAACTTCTTGCTTTTAAACTGGGCGAGTTGGCACGCACCTGTAATGTCAGCACTCAGGAAGCTGAAGCAGGAGGATTGCTGAGTTTAAAGCCAGCCTGAACTGCGTAGTGAGACCCTGTCTCAAAACCAAAAATCTCTCTGGCTTTCACTAGGGCAAAATCATAAAAAGGATCTCTAGTGGTGAGAAAGTGATGCCCACTGAGCTATGACTATGGGCTCTGACTAAACATGAATCAAAAATAACTCATTTCCATGTTGTGCTGGGTGTGGTGGCACTTGAGAGGCTAAAGCAGGAGGATCAACCAGGAGATCGTGGCTAGCCTGAACAACATAGTGAGACCCTGTTTTTTTTTTTAAAAAAAACTGTTTTCTGAGTGAATCTGGGATGGGCTGGGGATATAGCTCAGTGGCATAAGCGCCTGCCTGGCAAGCAAAAGATTCTGAGTTCGATTTCCAGTACAAAAAACAAAAAACAAAAACAAAAAAAACAACCTTTGCCTGCCTGTGTGAATCTGGGATGAGTAGTAAAGAATAGGGAATAAGATTATAAAGGATTTTCTTATGTATGATATTTTTGTTTTGAGACAAGGTCTTGCTGTGTAGTCTAGGCTAGTCTTCAACTTACTATGGAGCCCAGGATGGCCTTGAATTGGTGGTAATCCTCCTGCCTTAGCCTTCCATGTGCTACGATTATAGGCATGTGCCACCATGCCCAGGTCCTTATGTGTCATTTTGTGAGCTGTGGCCACTTGAAAAGTAGGGTAAAAATGGGTACCTTGCTGGGTATAGTGTGGCACTCCTGTAATCTCAGCCCTTGGGAGGCCGAGGCAGGAGGATTGCCAAGGCCAGCCTAAACTATATAGTAAGACCTTGCCTCAAAAACAAAACAGTAAGACGTTATTTTGCAGATGAGGCATGAGAAACAAGACAGGAAGGCAAAATGGGCATGAAGTTTTGAGCTGTGATGAATGGGGGAGTGGACTGGGGCACTGGGTACTTCGGGGGCAGAAGTGGGGGGAAAACCTAACCGAGAACCTGCCTCCACAGGCAGAAGAGCGACATAAGGCAGGCCGATTCGAGGAGGCAGTGCACTGGGGGGCCCGGTCCCGGAGGCTCATCCTGGCCAGCTTTGCTGTCTGGCTTGCTGTCCTCATTCTGTCCCCTGTGCTGCTGTGGCTGCTTTCCTACACCATCGCTCAGGCTGAGTGACCCTGGGTGGCCTGTGCCGAGAGTCAGCTGAGACATGCTGGATCCAACAGTGCAACATTGCTAAGTTCTGGGGACAGCAATGGTCCTTCCTGGCTGGAAGGATGGGGCCTCTCTTAAGGGCCCTTGGAAGAGCTCTTCTAGCCTTTTATAACAAGAGCTAAGACTGGGGAGGGGCGATCAGCTGGCTGTTTCAATGCCCTCCACCTTCCCTCTGTCCTACACCACTCCATCCTAGGGGCCTCCACCCAGAGAAGGGGGCTGAAGACCAGGCCTAGTTTTATTAGAATTTGTTTTATAATAAAAACCTCTTTTGGTGTTGAAATGCTCCTGTCTAATTAATTATTCTCTTCCTGCTTTCCCGAGTCTTTGGTGAGGGCCAGACTGGATATCTGACTGATGGCAGAAGCTGCTAGTCTCTGGCTTCACTTCCAGCTCCATAAGAGGGGAAACAATTTATTTTTCTTCTTCTGAAAGTTTCTCATTTTGGAAAAACCCACAACTTCTCCTTATATATCAGCAGAAACCCTGAGGCTGGAGAGGAAGTTTAGTAACAGAAGCTGCTATTTACTTGAATACTTACGCCAGGCTGTGTTCTAAGTCCTTTGTATTTTGCCATCAGTCCCCACAGGGACTCAGTGGTATGTTCTTCTTTTATAGTTGAAGAAATGGGCACAGATTTGCCTAAGGTCACAAAGCTAGTACATGGCAAACCTGGATTGAATCCAGACCCTTGTTGTGCTCTATCTATAGCTCTTTTTTTATTCTGTATTTTGAGACGGTCTAATTAAGTCACTGACTTGCCCAAAATGGGCTTGAACTTGTGATTTTTTTTTAAATTTATTTTTTAGTTTTTTTCCAGTACTGGGAATCAAACTGACAACCTCGCACTTGCCAGGCAGGCACTGTGCCGCTGAACTAAATCCCCAGCCCCTGGGCTTGAACTTGGAATCTGCCTGCCTCAGCCTCCCAGAGTATTGGGATTACAGGCACGCGCCACCATGCCCCGATTTAGATATTTGTGTACCTGTGCCCTGGGAATTATGGTTACCTCATCATAATTGAGCAGAGCACCTAAAGGAATTAGAGATGTGTACACTAAAAAGAGTATTAGAAGCACATGGTGGCTGTTTTCAATGTTCCAAAATGCTCTGGAAAGGAAAATACTGGGGATTGACCCAGGGTCTCATGCACACTAGGCCAGTGCTCTAACCACAGCTGGTTGCTCAGGCTGACTTTGAACTTAAAGTGTTCCTGCTTCAACTTTCTGAGTTGCTGGTATTACTGGTGTTGTGTACCGCCACAGTTGGCTTGGTAACGTGGTAATGTGGTTTTTTTTTTTTGTACTGGGAATTGAACTCAGGACCTCACGCTTGCTAGGCAGGCGCTGTGCTGCTGAGCTTGGTAACATTCTATAGCAATCTTTCCTGTTTTAGGGTCTGGTTCTGGTTTAGAATCTTCACTGTATTTAGTTGTCATACCTCTTTAGTCTACTTCAGTTTTTTGACAGTTCCTCATTCTTTTTTGTCTTTCATGATGTTTCTGAAGCAATGCCGCTTAACATCAGAAGGCATATGAATGTTGGTTTGTCTTACTGGTAGTAATAGCAACAATTTAGTTAATGTAGTGTCATATTTTTCCAAGGTAATGATCTTTGTGTTTTCTTTGTAATTAAAAAGGAATCTATATAAACTTTTTCAGTGAATTTTCACCAGATTCCTTATGTTTGTTGTTTGGTTTTCTGAAAGGGCCTTGCCATAGCTGGCCTTGAACTTACCTCCCAAGTGCTGGGATTGCAGCACCACCATTGCTGACATGCTCCACCATTCAGTTTCACCAGTGATTTTTTTCTGGGTTTGTGTGTGTTTTGTTTTGTCTTTTTGAGACAGGGTCTTGCTATGCAGTTCAGCCTGACCTTGAGCTCACTTTGTAGCCCAGGCTGGCCTCAAATTTGCAATGATCCTCCTGCCTCAGCCTCCCGAGTGCTGGGATTACGGGCGTGCACCACCACACCCAGCTTGAGGGGCATGTTGAGACAAGGTCTCACTATGCAGTTCAAGCTGGCCTTGAACTCACTTTGTAGCCCAGGCTGGTCTCTAATTTGCAATGACCTGGGCTGGGGATTTAGCTCAGCAGCACAGCGCCTGCCTGGCAAGCACAAGGTTGTGAGTTCGATTCCTGGTACGGGAAAAAAAAGCAAAACAAAAAAAATTGCAATGATCCTCCTGCCTCAGCCTTCCGAGTGCTGGGATTACAGGCATGCGCCACCATGCCCGGTGTTGTTTACTTTTATTGTGAGACATGGTTTCACTCAACTGCTCAGGTTGGCCATGAACTTGCAATCTTTTAGCCTCAGCTTCCCACCTAAGTCATTCTTTCTAAATTTCTTTCTACTGTACAGAAAATCTGGGCCTGGGGATACAGTTCAGTGGTACAGTGTTGCCTATCAGTGTGCAAGGCCCTGGGTTCCATCACCATCACTGCAAAACAATAGATGTTTCTTTTTCTTCTCTTAGTTACAACTTTTAGGATCCATATGGTCTGAGTTTCTGTTTTAGTTTGGTGGTTATATATAATACTGTCATTATCTTAAAATACGTTCTGTTCAAGCCAGGAATGGTGGTCCATACCTGTAATCTTGGCACTCTCGAAGGCTGAGGCAGAAAGGTAGTAAGTTTGAGCCCAGCCTGGACAATTTAGCAAAACCCTATTTTTTTGAGTTCAATCCCCAATATTAAAAAAACCCTATTTTGCGGGGTTCAATCCCCAGTATTAAAAAAAAAAAAACAAGTTCTGCTAGGTGTAATTTATACAGATCTTAAATATGCAGTTTTGATAAGGTTTTTTTTTTTTTTTTTTTTTTTTTAGTCAGTACACCTGAGTAGTCACCATCTAGGTAAACAACATTTGGAACAGTCAGAAAGCTCCCTCATGAACCTTGTCTCATTATATTTGCCTCTGATTTTGACTAGTGGAAACCCTCAAGCCTCGTTCCTGTTCTCTTTGATAAGTACTCATTCATTCAATTTTTGTTGTTTGTTTTTTAACTAGATTTTTATTGGTACATTTCAGATGTACATAAAGATCACATTCACCATAGAGAATTTGTACCTGTACATGATATAACCTTTTTAAAAATTCATTCCTTAGTTATTTTCAGCAGTAATTGCTTCCGACTCATCCTGTACCTTCCCTCCTGCAGCCTAGGCATTGCCCATTTTCCCCAAGGGCCGTGTTTTCTTTTGTTGGGGACTGTTACTTAAAAGTCAGTATCTAATGGGGTATGGTGGTGTACGCTTATAATCTTTGCACTCAGGAGGCTGAGGCAGGAGGATCGCTGCGAGTTGGAGGCCAGCCTGGGCTACATAGTGGTCAAAGCCAGCCTGAACTACTAGCGAGACCCTGTCTGAAAAAAAACAAAAATAGATACTAGGTGTTTCATTCAAATGGGTTATTGTTTCTAGGTCCTTTCAGTGTTCAGAGCTAGAAAATAATAAAATTGTATTCATTTTAAATGTTTTTAATTATTCCTCCAATTTCAGTCAGTCATAGGGTCCATCCTTTTCTTTCCCTGTTCCAGATTCTATATTCCCAGTTAGAACCTTAGCTCCCAACTACATTAATCTTTTTTTTTTTTTTTGCCTTTTTGAGACAGGGTCTCGATATGCAGTTCAGGCTGGCCTTGAGCTCACTTTGTAGCCCAGGCTGGTCTCGAACTCGCAACGATCCTCCTGCCTCAGCCTCCCGCATGCTGGGATTATAGGCGTGCGCCACCACGCCCGGCACAACTACATTAATCTTTACTGTTTTAGGATAATTATTCCATTATACTACCAAACAAATCTTCCAAAATTTCTTTGCGTTTCTTCTCTTTGTATTACTATAAAGCCCAAGAACTCCATAAAAATTTACATGGATTCATTTCTCTCCCTTTATGTGATTGTGATCCCAAAGGGACATTTCTAAGATAATGGTAGCATTTGAAATACTGGGTCATTCTGTTCCTCTTTTGCTGGAACAATCTCTACAAGGGTGTGTTGTTTTTTCATTGCTATTAGCCCAGAGCCTAGGTCTCGGATACTCAAGTATGTCTTGTATGATCAAGCTGAACAGTCAGGACTGACTCAGTTTTGAAATCACTCCTGTGAATCTAAAATCTAGTGGGCTTACAGCTGGCTGAGCTTGATAGAGTCCCAAGGCTTTGGTGTGCGTGTGTGTTTAAGATTGAGAAAATGAAAAAAGTTGGGAGAGTATAATTCTAGATGGTACGCACTATGGCTGGAAAAACAGTCAAGAGAAGTCAGCGGCCACAGGACAGGAGGCTTCTAGCCATATAAATCCACAGCGAGGGGCTGGGGATTTAGCTCAGCGGCAAAAAGCGCCTGCCTGGCAAGCGCAAGGTCGTGAGTTCGGTTCCCGGTACCGGAGAAAAACCAAAAACCAAAAACCAAACAAAAAATAAATCCACAGCGAAGTACCAAGCGTGCCCCACTGCATGCTCCCTAGGGAGCACGAGTCCACCGCACAAAGGGGGATTTTTGGACCAAGCAGCTAATAGATAAAAAGACTCGAATTCAGATAAACATGCTGGGGGGTTGGGGATTTAGCTCAGCGGCAGCGCCTGCCTGGCAAGCGCGAGGTCGTGAGTTTGATTCCCGGTACCGGGGAAAAAAAAACAACAACAACAAACAGAAAAACATGCTGGAAAGAGACAGGGGGCAGTGGGGCAGGGAGCGGGGCTCTACCCCAAAAGTGCGACTCCCGGCTGCCCGCTTTCCTACTTCCGGTAAACCTAATTTCCGGATTCGATTTTAGGCGTCTAACACCCTTGACGCAGGTGCCGCCCTCTGCGGCAAATGACATACGTTCATTGGTTGTAACTGAAGCTCCACCCTAGGTTCGCGGTTTTTGATCCCGTCGAGCTGCACGCCCACTTCAACCGCGGGGACTCTCTTGGCTTCCTATTGGACTATTTGTCTCCAATCAGAAGGGTTTCTGAACGTCAGTCTTCCGGCGATGCAGACCATTGGTTGAAGGGATAGGGGCGGATCCGGAGGTCGTCTCCGGCACCAGAGAAAAAGCAAGGGACTGAAAAAGCAAAGCCGGCTGCCTCGAGGCCTCGCATCAACCCTACCGTGACTTTCCGCCCGGGCGGGTGAGCCTGCACGAGACCCTGCACCCCACCCCCGTACCTCCAAGTGCGCCTGCGCCGTAACAGCCGCTTGCCCTTGTGCCGCTTTCCCCTTTTCCTGACATTTTCCTTCCCCCTCTCCTGTCCCCCTCCCTATCCTGTCATCCCTCCTCCCCTTAGGGTCTCCCTAGTCCCGATCCTTCCCCTACCCCGATCCCATCCCCCAGGACCCTGGCGCCCCAGCCGCAGGGTTTGCGCCTCCGGCAGTCGCGATGCTTGTCTCAGTCTCTGTGGGCCTCTCTGCCCTCATTGCCCTCTATTTCCTCCTCACAGGCCCCCACCTCACTCAGAATGACACTGGACGTGGGACCGGAGGATGAGCTGCCCGACTGGGCCGCGGCCAAGGAGTTCTACCAGAAGTACGACCCTAAGGACGTCATTGGCAGGTGAGGCCACAGCCAGGGCAAGGAACTGCGGAGAGCTGGGCACCTAGCCAGGACGCATGGTTACCTCTGAGGGCTGGATAGATGGGCAAGGTCAGTGGTCCGTGCAGAACACTCGGTGACTGACCAGACGTGTGTTCTGGGTGAACCCCCATCTTTCTACGAATTATTCGTTTATGTATTCCAGGAAGAAGGTTGAAGCACCAACTGTGTGCCAGACACAAAGCTACCCGTGGGAAAGGTAGAAAAGATGTCTGTGGCCTGGAGGTACTTCAGGTGAAGTGGCAGAAAAAGATGGTAGACTGGATAGATAGGGATCTATATACTGTGCCTTGGGGTCCTTGAAAACAGCTTCCCAGGAGCTGTGATGTTTGGCTCGGTCTTCAAGTATAAATAGGGGTTCAGGGTGTGGAGACCGGAAGGAAGGCTACATTTGTGAGTCCGTGGCAGGTAACGTTTATTCAACAAAAGTTTCCTAAGCGTGCACACTGTACTGGGTATGCTGTGCCCTCCTACTGAGGGGTGGCAGAAACCCATAGGATTTCTGTCCTCCTATGCCAACAACAGACAATAAGCAAAAACAAGATATAGCACTAAGGAGAAAGCAGGTCAGGGTAATGGAGGCGGGGAGGCCTGGGAAACCTCTGAAGAACTAGGTGTTTGGGGAATGAATCCCAGAGTCTTGTGTGTGGTAAGCAAGTACTATAACACTGAGCTGTGGTTTTGAAGGATGAGAATGACTGGGTCAGCCGGGCGTGGTGGCACACGCCTGTAATCCGAGCACTCGGGAGGCTGAGGCAGGAAGATCTTTGTGAGTTTGAGACCAGCCTGGGCTACAAAATGAGCTCAAGGCCAGTCTGAACTGTATACCAAGACCCTGTCTAAAAAAGACAAAAATAAATAAATAAATAAAAGGAGAGAATGACTGGGTCATGAGCTGAGGCAGGATATACTGTGTTCTTAGCAGAGGGACAGTGGGTACAGAAACTGCAGCCTGTGGCTAGAATCCACTAAGAGTGGGAAACAGTGAAAGAAACTAACTTGGAGAAATGAATAGGGGTTAGATCTAGGGCTTAGGCCATTAAAAGGAATTTAAATGTTCTTGAAGTAAAATGGGTGGTTTCAAACATGGTGACATGATGTGATATATATTTATTTCTGTGACTTGGGAACATGGAACTTAATCTTTTTTGTGCTGTAGTTAACTGACAATAAAAATAGAACCTACCTTGTAGGTTGCTTTGAGAATGGAATGTCTTAATATACCTTTAGAACACTTCTCAGCACATGCTAAATACTCAGCACATGGGTACTCTTTTTTTTTGGTGGTGGGACTTGAACTCAGGACTTTGCGTTTACCAGGCAGGCACTTGTGCCGCTGAGCTATAGCCCCGGCCCCGGGCCTGGCTTCTTAATACATTTTTAAAGAAGGTCTTTGTGCCTTTTGTGTAGAGAGTGGAGAGGAAAGGGGTAAGAATGAAAGCTTAGAGACTGGTCAGAAATCTGTTGATTTCTTGAGCTGCGTGAGAGCTATAAATTTGGGAGGCACCAGCATATAGTAGTGGCTGGGGAGAGAGTACAGAGAAATGAATGGGGTATAGGCTTAGCCCTGGGGCATATAACTATTTATGGATCAGTTACAGAAGGAGCCAGCAAAGGAGACTAAAAAGATACTGTCTGTGAACTAAAAACTAAAACACAAGAAGAATATGCTCCTACAAGATTGTCAGACTCTGCCGTGTCAAATGCTAAGGCCAGGAAAACAGACAGGGGTATGACTGTTAGATTTGACCAGGCACCATTTAGATATTACGTGGACATGTCAGTAAGGCAGTGGAAATGGGGAATTCTGGACAGAAATCACGGGTTGAGACAGGATAGTAGAACATGTTTGCATGGAGTAGGTGTTCAAAGGTCCTAGGACTAGAGAGAGATTACAGAGGAGATGGCGTATTGGGAAAAAAGGGAGCCCA